CAGACCGATCCACTGGCTGTGAACATTCTAAACTAACACGAGTCTCATTAAGTGTTTAGTTTAAGGGTATTACACAGAAACATACCAAGGGAACATGAATCAAATATGCACTTTTATTCATTTACAATAAACTAATAAAGTACATCATTCTGATTGAAGCTAAGGGCATAAAAACTGTCTAACATAATCTCACATGCAGTTCGGTATCCCCTCATACGCAAGGTTTAAAATTTTGATACAGTACGCTTGATACGGGGCGTATCATATCGTATCTTTCAAAGTAAGATACGAGATACGGTAGGAAATCGAGAGTTGCATCTCTTTTCTTCCGTATCGACACCGTATCGCCCGTTTCGGTGCCATATTGGTTGATACGCTACCGATACAGGGGGCATATCGACTGATACACACCCAAAACGATATAGGCGGAGTTTAAAATCTTCGAAGTGGAGAAAGGAGGCTTTTTTCTACCGAAAAAAGCCTTCTCTCCCTCCCAAACCACTCCAAACCTCTCACATACTTACCTAGACTGCTAGATCTACAAAAAAAAAAAAACAACAACAAAAACACATCAAACTTGAAGATTTGGGAAAATTTTTGAAGTTTTGGAAAGTATTGCGAAAAAAGGTGAGTTTTTCATTTTTTTTTTCATTTAGTCTCTTTGATTTGTTATTTCTTTCTTGGTTGAATTCTTGGAAGTGCTCTAAACTTACTTGATCTACATTTCCCATGTCAAAAATCACAATTTTTTTTATTATATGTGTAGATCTATGGATTTTTATGAATAAATATGGAAAAATAAAAATAAAGAAAAAAATAAAAAAAAAATGTTTGTTTTTTTATTTGAATGTAAGCACTTAATATGTTAGAAACCTATGGATGATCTACCATATCCATGTAAGATTTGAAATTTTCTATGTAATATTTGTTTTTTTAATTTTTTGTAATTTTCGGAAATAAAAAATAATATTAATTAATTAATTTTTTTTTGTCCATAATGATTGAATGTGTTGTAGATCAATGGCTAATCTATCATATCCATAGATCATTTGTTATTTTGGCATTTATTCTTTAAATATATTATTTTTTTTGAATTTTTTTGTAATTTTCAGAATTAAAAATAAATATTAATTAATTATTTTTTATTATGATTTGTCCATTAACACTGAATATATTCTTAATATATGGCTGATCTATCATATCCATAGATCATTTTACATTTATCATTCAAATATGATTTTTTTTTGTAATTTTCAGAATTAAAAATAAATATTAATTAATTATTTTTTATTATGATTTGTCCATAAACACTGAATATATTCTTAATATATGGCTGATCTATCATATTCATAGATCATT